AAAGCAATTTCGCTTCAAACTTTTGCTTTAACAATGATTCCTATAGCCATAATGTTTTTCACACTTTGCTTATGATATATCTTTCCTCGAGAGTCTGTTTGAATCAGCCAATGTGCAGCAATTTTGTAGGTTTCCCGTGTGTTTACACAGTACGGAAAGACCGTACTTCATGTGGCCGTCGGGAATTGGAGGACTGGGGTAGCGAAGCTGCTGATTCAACATGGCGCTGATGTGGAGGCGAAGGACAAGGTAAGTACAGAAAACCATCTTATGCAATTAGGATCCATGTAATAAATGATTGTTGAAGAATATCACTGACATTGGCTTTGAAGTCCATTAGTCATGCCAGGGATCAACTTTTAAATTGGTGGCTAGTAGTTAGGTTAAGGCCTTGCAATTTTATGGTTTACCTTTCTATAGCTACACGACACGGTAGTTGATCTATAATTAATACCGATTTTCATTAACATTCTTCGCCAAATGATGTTCACCATTCTAACTTCCGAAATTATACATTTTCTCATTGATTATGAAAATAAGATTCTCATTTTATCTCCATTATGGATTATATGGATATCAGTTGGTGATATTCTCCACCCAATTACAGCCTTATTGTAACAGAGAATGCTATCTGTTTAGCACTTCCTCTTAAATTATGATAATAACCTTGTGATTTGAATAGATAATGTTCACCTTCAATTAACTTCCAAATGTAGCAAGTATGAAATGCCTGACAGTTACCTCTATGAAATTATAGCAATTTGCCATTAATTTTGCAAATGAGGTTTTCATTCCCATAATCTATATTTCCAGATGTTCCTCTCAGTCCCAATTTCATACATCACAAGTGTTCTATACACTTATTATGGAATGCAGCAGATTTTTAGTAATCCCTTATTAATTATGCAAATTTGCTCCTGATTTGCATAATTACCATCTCATTATGTCAGGAATTACTTTAGCTACCTAGTAGACGTAATAAAAATTGTGACAATCCGTCAGACAGTTCTTGAGTTATCCTCCCTCCCTCCCACCCAACCACAAAAACAAACACACACACACACACACACACAAACGCGGAAATTATAACCTTCTTGGCAAAGCTAACAAACTTAAAGATTGTGTGAACTAACGCTTTATTCTATTACACAGGATGGGAGAACACCACTGGACTACGTGCATAACCAACGCCACCGACTTTTCCTAAAGGTGTGAGTAAATTTTTACTTCATCTTTCACAGATTTTATATCGTAGTCAGTCTCCAACATGTTGTAAAGTGCATCACACGTTTTCTCATGATATTTGATTCGCGATTATGCACGAAAAGGTGCCTATACTTGCTTGATGACGCCTGGCTGAAACTACTAAACAGACATTGAAAGCATTTTATCAGTAAGGCTGATTTTTTGGATGATGCAAGTCGAGTGTTTACATTGCTCATCCAGAAACTGGCCACTGAGGTGGCTGTCCAGGTTTCCTACCACAAACTGATGAAACAATCCGGCGGGGAGAAAGTCGACAGGTTTAAACTGTGCTTCTGTGGACCACAGGAAGCTGGCAAATCCACTCTGGTGGAAAGTCTGCAAACGGTACGATTTCAATCCAGGATAAGTCCAGAATAGAGCCCAGAAACACTGATTTGCTTGAAGTTAACATGTACAGTGTATTTGTGTCTGCAGGAATGTCAGCATACTCGTACATAGTATGGGAAAAAGTGATGCAAGATTGTATGGCTTTAGGCAGGTCAAAATAATAGATGCCAGATTTGAATTGGTACAAATATACATGTATCTGGAATATTCTTTTATTTCAGATTCATGGCAATTCTGCACTGTCACTAACATGAAACAGTTGTTCCAGATTTCCTGAAGAACTTAAATTCCCTTGACATCTATACGTTCTTAACTAGAATTTTAATAAAATATCTATAGCACTGAACTGAATATAATAAATATATAATATATGACTTCATGTAGGGATCTTTCACTGCCTTCTTCCGGGATCGGATGACTCCAGAAGATCAACCACACGAGCCCACCCCGGGTGTGAATGTGGGAACAACCAACATTCCCGGTGTGGGGCAGGTCAGTGTGTGGGACTTCGCTGGACAGTCGGAGTACGCGGTAACCCACAGCATGTTCATGGATGCAGAAAACACCATCTTCACCGTGCTATACAACATCATGGATGACTTAAAAAAGCAGAAGAGAGAGGTAGGTGATTAACTAGAAAGTTGAGGAAAATGGTATTTTTCTAAACTCATATCGGCAATGGTTTGATGACGACCCACCGTTTCTTTACAGGTCCACTGGTGGCTGTGTTTCATCAAGTCCTGCAACACAAAGTGTAAGCCTCATGTCATCCTGGTAGCCAGTCATGCCGATCAGACAAACACAGGTACATGTAACTAAGACTAATGATGTATGTTTGCTTAAATTCTGCTAGATATGTAGATACTGAGCGATTTTAGATAGAATCTTCTTTTCTGTAATCTCTCTTTTCAGACATGTTCTACATTGTGTTGTTTTCAACAGGTCATCAACAAGCATCTTCCATCCTTGAGTTGATGACGTCAGAGTTCAAGGATCACCTGAACATCTCAGACGAAGTGTTTCTCCTCGACTGCAGGAAGACACGTAAAACTGACATGAGGCGTCTTAAAGACCTTCTGACAAGACTGAAGACCGAGCTTCTGGATGTGAGTCATGTTGTCTTGTAACATTTTATGTCAGTTTTCCATCTATTTGGAAACAGAATTGTATCTTGCTTCAAACATACATACTGTAGTTATCAAAAACAAAGCATACGATCAAGACATACAATGTAAATATATATAACACTCAAAATCAATACATAGATGTGCAACATGATTGAAAACCTGTCAAAATAGATCATGTGTCTGCATTTAACCATCCAAACATACAGTGTATGTTCACAATTCCAAATGGTCATTCCGCGTAAAATTACACTCCACGAAAACTTAGATTTACCGGGCGAGTATAGTTGGGTAATGTTTACTTTTTTAATAAACACTTCTAAACTTTACAATGATAGTAAATAAAAGTCAACTACGATAATAACGGTTTTAAAGGAAATTACTGCAATTGACTTTATTTACTACGATTGTAAAGCCAGATACTGTGTACATAGTAAACATTACCTTAATTTACAACCTTTGGTAAATCCAACTTTTCGTGCAGTGTTAGTCAACAACAATTGCAAAACAGCTCTGTCCCTAACTGCCCGATTTCATTATGTAGCATCAGCGAGCCATTCCCAAGCTGTGTGCTGAGATCATCAAGTGCCTCCCAAAATGGGCCAAGGAGAAATGCAGACCGAAGTGTCCTGTCTTGAAATGGGCAGAGTACAAGGAGGCGGCGGCGAAGGAGATCGACCGCTTTGTCGATGAAGATCTTCTGAAGACGTCTTCACAGTACTTGGCTCATCTCGGAGAGGTAAACTTAGCTCGCCAGCAGCCTACATAGCCAATTGGTGCCTTTCAGTGCGTTAGTGTTGGTCAGCTGTCAACCAATCAGACTCTGCCCAGCTGCTATATATGTTCACGGGTAAAGTGTCAACCAGTTGCGCAGCCTCTTACCAGCAGATGATATGTAGAAATCCATTTGTAGTCAATCGAAATTACTATCAAATAACTGAAGCAACATTCGTTATACAAACCAAACAAACAAACAAACATGTACAAACAAACAAACAAACAAACCATTCATTTGTATATTGTTCCAGATCTTGTTCGTTCCCCTGCAAAATGCCGACCCCATCATCGTCCTGAAGCCCAACTGGCTCTGCACGGATGTCTTCGGCAAAGTGATGGCTCCAGAAAACTTCCCCATCCAACATCTGAGAACCATCAACGACGTCGTCACGAAAGAGGAAATCCAGAACGTGTTTAAAGATGTTGCCGATGTGGATCTCCTGACCACCCTGCTACAAGAGTTCCAGCTCTGCCACACCTATAATGAACAGGAGTTCATCATCCCCGGGCTGCTGACACAGACCATGCCTCCAGAGAACTGGCAGCCGACCGCGAACACTGCCAAGCCCGTCTACTTCGGCAAGCAAGTCCAATGTGCCGACACCACCGACATGTTCTCCTCCGCGTTCTTCCCCCGTGTGCAGACCCGCCTAATGAAGGAACTGAAGAACCGCCCGCTGCTGTGGAGAGACGGAGCCAAGTGTTTCGACTCCAACGTGGAAAGTCTCATCAAGCTCTCCCCAGACGGCCGTGTGGTCAACACTTGCGTGCGAAGCGAGCAGGGCGACAAGCTGAGCTGCCGGCAGATGCTCGAGAAGATTGAGAACATCGTCATCAACGTGTTAGACGAGGTCAGCCCAGGCACTGCTACAGAAGAGAGGGTGCTCAGCGCTCGTGCACTTAGGGAACACAGAGAAGAGATTTACTCCTACAGCATGGATCAGGTCAACAAGGCCAAAGAAGAGGACGGCATCGTCCATCACGACATTCTCGGCTTCTCAGAAGACGTCGATGACCTCCTGTGTGGTGGAGGAGACGACGATGAAGAGGAGCAAGGAGCTGTTGGATACTCGCACCAGGATCCCCGCGTGTACGAGATGCACAACCACATCATCAACGCAGGCGATGGTGCCGTCATCAACATGTATCAAGGTGCCGCAGGACAACTAGAACAGCTACAGTTGGAAGGGAATGTTGGACAGCCACAGTTGGAAGGGGGTATTGGGCAGCTACAGTTGGAAGGGGATGTTGGACAGCCACAGTTGGAAGCAAATTAGCCTGGTGATCTGGAACAGACACAGTTGGCGGAGTGACTTTTCATTCAATCTAGTACAAATGTTAACAAAGGCTTCCTTTCCCCTCAGTGACCACACACTGACCCCCCCCCCAAAAAAAAAGAAAGCAAAGTTGTGTTAATCCCACCACTTCAGGAGCAAGCTAAGTTAAGAAGAGCTCACTGATTCCCATTGTGTTTCATGACAGTTTTTCGCAAGCATTGTTCATGCATTACCTGGTTATGGCGCAAAAATATAAATGGCTCAACTGCAGTTGGCAGAGACCCCAGCAGGGGGTGCATCTGTATTACTGTCAGCAAATAAGTTAAACGTTTTGACGTCACCCCTCCAAACATAACCTTCTTGGTGAAGGTAAAAAACTTCCTCTTTATCGGTTCCCCCAACCAGATATTTAGGTTACTGCAAGATAGCATCAAATTGGAAAGACCATTTTATATATTTATATATATACACCAGTATAAAAATGTAAGCCAGATGAAACGCCCATAAACACATAAAAAAGCCGAAGCCTAAACAACAATAGAGTACAACCAAAACTGAACCAAAAACCAAAAATGTTTTCGCATTGATGACAAAAGGACCACATAACCTCTGGTCCAAAATACATCAAATTGGTGAGATGTATGATTGGTATCATTGACATAAGATTTTTTAAAGAAAATAGATTCTCTTTTGTATGATGTAACAACAATTTGCTGTTGTGAGATTTGGCAATGGCCAATGCTAATTACAGAACAAGTCTTGTTGTGCAATAAATAATTACTGCTTATTGTTTGTTTTATTGGGTTCCCCATTAGTGTTACATACATTACAGAAAAGACGAAAGGACGATTTTCCAAGATGGCGGACATGCTGTACCTTTTTTTAGTCCCCGGGTTACAGCTTACTGTTTCTTTCGTTGCTGTTGTGAGATTTGGCAATGGCCAATGCTAATTATAGAACAAGTCTTGTTGTGCAATAAATAATTACTGCTTATTGTTCGTTTTATTGGGTTCCCCATTAGTGTTACATACATTACACAAAAGACGAAAGGACGATTTTCCAAGATGGCGGACGTGCTATACCTGTTAACCGCCGAAATGAGTCCTTAGCATGGTTCACAGAATTTAGCATAGCGCAGTCAGAATCGGGAAAGCCAGGCTAAAATATATGTCGTTGTAATCCTTACAAGTCAGGGAACCTTGGGAAGTTCACTTGAAGATCACACTTGTACACAAAAACGAGCTTTGTAGCGTCAAAGTTGACCTTTATTCGCTAGCTAAGAACTCATTTCGAACTGTATGGGGGTTTCCGTGATACCGCTAATCCCATCTACTTCCGGGTCACGGCTTACGAGGTTCGGTTACTAGTATATTACACGCCGAAGTGCGAAGGAAACGTTGCGGAGTGAAATTTCATGAAAAAAAGCTCTTAAATAGCCGCGCCTATAAGGTTTCGCAACTTCTTCCCAAAAATCCAATTACGCTTTGGCGAGTATATTAGGGTCTGCCATCCGTGTCTATCATATAAATGATACACGTAAACGTCGGGTCGTCTTCGAAGTACCTTATGTATCATTTCAATGATACGTGTAACTACCTAGGTTTTCCAAAGTCGGACTGACTTCCAATATAGTAACCCCACTATCATATCTACGCATGTGTGAGACGGGTACACTGTACCAGCAATAATTCAAATAGCTAATAGAAGAGTTACCACTTGGCTCTTAAAAAGCCGCGCCAATAAGGTTTCGCAACTTCTTCCCAAAAATACAATTACGCTTTGGCGAGAATATTAGGGTCTGCCCTCCGTGTCTATCATATAAATGATACACGTAAACGTCGGGTCGTCCTCGGAGTGCTTTTTGTATCATTTCAATGATACGTGTAACTACCTACTAGTAGGTTTTCCAAAGTCGGACTGACTTCCAATATAGTAACCCCACTATCATATCTACGCATGTGTGAGACGATAAAAAAATCCCTTTACCTTTGGCGAGTACTCTTTCTCGCAAAGGCGATTATGGTCTTCAGAAACAAAAGTCAGGCGCGTGTTACGTTGTTAGGGTGGTCGGTTTGAAACGCAGAACGTTGACATTATGAGAAAAACGTAACGTGCCAACCGGCTCCAAGTGTACGACATGGGTAATCAGGCCGATAACTCCATCTTTGACCCAAAGAGTTTTCACCTCTGACCTCACGAGACGAAGGAAGGACAAAGCTGCCCGAGTTCCGGTTTACGTGGAGAGAAAAACCATCATAAGAAGCAGGTAAGGCTTAGGAACGGTCAGAAAAGTATTCTAATGTTGAGGGGAATAGTTTAAGACTCTTTCTGTGGAAGTAGAACCGCAGTAGGATGATAATTTGTAGGCATTTTCGTGATGTGAATATCGTGGAATTAAAGGGGGAGGGGGGCGAAACCAAACATACCATCGACCCTCGCCACTTGTAGTCGTAGAAGTAATAAATAATATGATATGAAATGTTTTAAATGAAGTTGGTGGTGCGAGCGAATGATTGTAAGATCTCAAAAATTATTACTTTGAAGCACTACAGAAGCAAATTTATTCAAATGCGAGAAAGACAACACGTTAGAATTATGATGGGTTACGTTGTAATGCATTCGGATAAAATTGTAAAGCTTGGTGAAGTTAGAATTCCTTGAAACTTGTTTTAACATTGACAGCTTATGACGCTTAATCTGCATAATTTCTTCAATTTTTTTTCATTAGGCTGAACATGGCAATGGCGGGACACGGGTCTCCCACCGGAGTTGGTCAGAACTGCTGTGATGGGTCTCCCACCGGGGTTTCCCAGGAAGACTGTGACAGCAAAACAAGCAATGCTGAATATCAGGCAGCAACACAAGTTATCATGGATAACGCTGGTGAGAAACCCTACATGTGTGGGGAGTGTGGGTACAGGGCGGCTTACAAGTCTGCCTTATCCCTGCATATGAGAACCCATACAGGAGAAAAACCCCACAAGTGTGACCAGTGTGACTATTCTGCATCACAGAAAGGCACCTTAGATAATCATAAAGCAACGCACACCGGTGAGAAACCCTACATGTGTGGGGAGTGTGGATACAGGACAGGTGACAGGTCCAACTTATCCCGACATATGAGAGCCCATACTGGAGAAAAACCCTACAAGTGTGACCAGTGTGACTATTCTGCAGCACAGAAATTTCATTTAGACCGACATCTAGCAAAACACACCGGTGAGAAACCCTACAAATGTGACCAGTGTGACTATTCGTCAGCACGGAAATATGATTTGGACCAACATCTAGCAAAACACACTGGTGAGAAACCCTACATGTGTGGGGAGTGTGGGTACAGGACAGGTGACAGGTCCAGCTTATCCCGACATATGAGAACCCATACAGGAGAAAAACCCTACAAGTGTGACCAGTGTGACTATTCTGCTGCACAGAAATCTTCTTTGGATAAACATGTAGCAAAACACACCGGTGAGAAACCCTACATGTGTGGGGAGTGTGGGTACAGGACAGCTCGCAAGTGTCACTTATCTGTACATATAAGAACCCATACAGGAGAAAAGCCCTACAAGTGTGACCAGTGTGACTATTCTGCAGCACGGAAAGCTAATTTGGACAAACATCTAGCAAAACACACCGGTGAGAAACCCTACATGTGTGGGGAGTGTGGATACAGGACAGCTCAAAAGTCTAACTTATCCAAACATATGAGAACCCATACAGGAGAAAAACCCTGCAAGTGTGACCAGTGTAGTTATTCTGCAGCCTCTAATGCTATCTTATCTCGACATATAAAAATCCATATGGAGGCACCAAGTCTGCATCTGTGATCATCTCGTAGTGACATTTAGTACACACAGTTTACAGTTTCTCTACTTAATATTTTTATACGAACCTTAAGGGTATATGACAGTTATGTTTATAAACATTTAGGCTGAATATTCTGTAAGAATTCATGATGTTTCCAAGTAGGCAAAGGTTTTTCTCAAGAAAAAGTCCTATACTTGTTCACTTTAATATCTAATTAAGTTATGGCTATAATTTAGGTACAAGAATAAGTCTTAGTTTAGTTAGTATCCAATATACTTTGTTCTAATATCAATTATTTTGAAACGAAAAATCTCTTTTAGCTACTTAGAATTGTGTGAGAATAGTAAGTGTTATAGTATAGATTAAATAATATACATATATATAATCAGTAATTAACATCGGTAAGTGATTGTACACAGTAGTTGAAGCTGAAAGGTAGACATTAGTGCTGTGTTTGTACACGGTAGTTGGAATGTAGACGTTAGTGTTGTGTGTACGCGCTTAGATTTCCTGTATATTTACTAGTAGTTCCGGTCACGAAGTGTTTGCCTATATGTCCTACAAACACAAATATATCATGTAACTATCAACTCTTAAAACTACTAGGATTTGTTAGGATAAAACCCAAAAGGTATTAGTATTGATTTGTATCAGTGTAAAATGACTGATGTGCTTCAGTTTCCAAAGTAGGAAGTTATTTTACGCCATTGAAAAGGTAGACGATACCTATCG